GCCACGAATTCCGCCACCTTCAACCCCTCAAACAAGCCAACTAGCCTCCCCTTACCAGAATGCGAGTAATGCCCAAAAGCAAACAAATAATCAATGAAGAACACTCGTTGTCATCCTTATGACTTATACTAAACTCCTCCCACATTTGGTCAACAATTCGTTAATTGTTCCTTTTCCTTTGAAACCGGTTGAGCCACCGTATCCAAAAGGTTATGATCCAAATGCCAAATGTGATTATCATGCTGGTAGTATTGTACACTCAACAAAGAGATGTTGGGGACTGAAACATAAAGTACAAGACTTAATCGATGAAGGATTGTTAAGTTTTAAGGAGGAAAGTCTGAACGTTGCTAATAATCCGCTTCCAGGTCATAGAGGTGCAACAGTAAATGTCATTGATGAAGAACTTAATCAACTTATCAAGAAGGTGGAAGAAGTCAAAACTGTTAGAAAAGGAGGCTGAGATCAAGAGGGGGTGTGAATTGATCTTTGAAAGATTTTCGCAAATTACAGATTATCTATTTCAAAGATTAAGAGTTCTGACCAATTCTTGAATCAAACAAAACAAACAATCAAAATCAAGACAGCAGCAGAATTAAAGAGAGAAAGGTTTAGAGAGATATAACCAAGATTTATACTGGTTCACCCAATCTCAGGGCTACGTCCAGTTTTCAGCCAAATTCCAGCTGAGTTCCACTAGATTGAATGTTTTACGGATTACAACTCCAATCACACACTCAATCTACCACAAGAACCAAAATTCTAGTCCTTGCACCTAAACCTTCACCAAGAACCAACTTCCAGTTCTTGAACCACCCTGCAACCGAATTCCAGCCACAGAAACCAGTGCCCACACTTCTAGACACTCGCAATACAGTAATAAAATGTAAAAGAAACAAAGAGAAGAAACTAGAACACTCAAACCCGGATTATGCTGCTCTGCAGAATGAGTTTCTTCACAAAAGAAATGCAGAAAATGCCTCAAGAAAGAACTTTGAAAAACTTCACAAAACTTGTGTGATTCTTTCTTGAAAGTAGCTCTTATGATTGCTTGATTGATTGCTCAAAGGTATATTTTAAAAGACTCAAGCAATCCTGTTTATATAGAAGATTGTTCAAACTGCTGGTTTAATTAATCTGTTAAAACAATCTTTTAATCTGTTAAAAGTCTTGAATTAATCTGTTAACACTTCTTTTAATATGTTAAAATGTTCTTGATCATTTTCCAGATTTGTTTTAACTTATGCGACATCGTTTCAATCGATTAAAACACTTTGTAAAAAATCCCCTAAGTTGTTTTAATCGATTAAAATACTGCTAAATGTTTTCATAAAACTTTCTAAGTGATTTTAACTGATAACAATCTATTTTAATCGATTAAAACACTTTGGAAAAAATCTCTTAGTTGTTTTAATCGATTAATTTGCATTTTAATCGATTAAAATCCTGCCAAATAGTTTCATAAAACTTTCTAAGTCATTTTAACTGATAACACATCGATTAAAATCCTGACAGAACTTCTTTCAAAAACTTTCAAGTGGTTTTAATCGATTAATTTGCATTTACATCGATGAAAATACTGACAGAACATATTTCCAAATACTTCAAGTTATTTTAATCGATTATTTCGAGTTTGTATCGATTAAAATACTGCCAGAACATTTTCCAAAACATTCTAAGTTATTTTAATCGATTATTTCGAATCTACATCAGTTAAAATACTGGCAGAAGGTTTTCAAAAACTCCTTTAATGAAAACAATCGATTAATTCGAAGATATATCAATTAAAATAGTTTCAGTGTATGTTTTAAAAGGTTTTAATCGATTATTTCGAAAACCTATCAGTTAAAAACCTATTATGTAAGTGTTAAGAACATTTTAACTGATAAAGCTCATATAATATCAGTTAAAACAATTACTTAAAAACCATTTAACCGATTACTTTGGTTTTTAACAGATTAAACATGTTTAGAGGCATTTTGCAAAATCTTTTAAATAATGAAACCTCATACAGCAGAGAGATATGAATGATTATACCTATGTATAGATGCAGACTCACTAATCACTCTACCCTTTTAACCAAGTAACTTTTGACATCAGCAGAATAGCCTTGACTTCATTTTGACTTCATCAAATCAACAAGATCTTCGTTTAATCAAATGATTCAATAAGATCTTCATCACTTTCAAAAACTCCCTTAAACGTGATCTTTTCATAATTATGCAATTTGAAGTTGATTGAAAGTCAAACCTTTAAAGAAATAGTAGGTGGTTCTTATCCTGAGGCCAAATATTTAGTTCATGAGTTCAAACAGTTGTTACAAGAGTTAATGGACTCAAACTTAGTGAAAATAAGTTGCTACTCTAGAGATGATGCTGTGTTGATGATTCATCCAGAAGAAAGACGAGGTGTTAATCCCCTTAAACCATTGATAATTCATTTTTCTAAGAATGTGTTACCTTCTCCATCTCCAGCACCCAAGCCTATTATTGTGCAAGTTCCGACTTCTTTCCCTTACAAAGATAGCAAAGCAGTACAATGGAAGTATGATGTGAAGATTCATACTAATGCAGGAGGGGAAGAAGACTCTCACGTTGAAAATATTACAGGAATAGGTGGGATAACACGTAGTGGAAGAATATATACTCCTGAGGACTTAAGGAAAGAAGAAGTAACAAAGAATTCTTCAACAAAGGAGAAAAAAATTGAGAAAAAGGAGTTTGAAAAGGAAAAGGAGTTTACTGAATATAAGGTTTCTCATGGGAAAGAAAAGGCAAAATTGAATGATGAAGCCACTGAGTTTCTCAAGTTCATTCGACAGAGCAAATACAAATTTATTGACCAATTGAATCATAATCCGACAAGGATATCTCTTTTAACTCTGTCAATGAATTCTGAAAGTCATAGAAAATTATTAATGAAGATCTTGAATGAAGCACATGTGGCCCATGACATTACACTGGACAAGTTTAGAGGTATCATTGGCAATATCGCTGCTAACAATTACCTTACCTTTACTTATTATGAAATTCCTATGGACGGGAGAGGACATAATAAAGCTTTGCACATCTCAGTAAAATATATGGATCACATTATAGCCAGAATTTTGATTGACAATGGATCTTCATTGAATGTGATGCCCAACTCTACGTTAGACCGATTGCCTTATGAAGGAACTCATATGAAACCAAGCTCTATGATTGTGAGAGTTTTTGACGGTTCCCGCAGGGAGGTTATGGGAGAAATTGATATTCCCATTCAAATTGGTCCTTTCACTTTTGAGATAACTTTTCAAGTTATGGATATCAGGCCAACATATAGTTGTTTGTTAGGGAGACCATGGATCCATTCAGTTGGAGTGGTGCCTTCAACTTTACACCAAAATTTGAAGTTTGTGGTAGACGACAAACTTGTGATAATTTCTAGTGAGGAAGACGTGTTAGTGAGTTGTCCTACATTGATTTGTTATATTGAAGCAGCAGAGGAAGCTCTCGAGACCTCTTTTCAGTCCCTAGAAGTAATCGGTACTCCCTATGTGGAATCATTAGCTAGAAACCCACACTTGTTAAGGACAGAGATGATGATAGCCAAGATGATGATGAAAGATGGATGTACACCGGGAAGGGGACTAGGAAAATACTTAACTGGAATTACAAAGCCGTTAGAATTACCAGAAAACAAAAATAGGTGTGGTTTGGGCTATAAACCCACCGTGGCTGACAAAAGAAGGTTAACAAAAGAGAAGATGGAGAAAAGGTTAGCTCGGTTGGAAAATCGAGAGCCAAAAACTAAGAGAATTCCCATTTGCGACCTTTATCAGAGTTTTCGACATGGAGGGCTAGAGCATACAAATGAAGTGGCCATGACTGGTGAAGATCAAAATATTGATAATTTTTCAAATTTGGTCTATCCTTGTGACTCACCTGATGAGCGTTGCAATTGGAAGATCGTTAGATGCCACGTGGTTTTTAATTCAAAGTAATTGTAATGTAGACTTTAACATTATGCCTAATATTTTTTACTACCCTTCAGAAAGGGTTTGCATGTAACCTTTTTTTGGTATATGACAAATGAATGAAATGTGTTTTTTTTAACTACCCGTCTTTCTTATAATCAATCACTTTCCTTTCAAATATTCCCTTATTTTTCCTCTTCATTTATTTCATGTTAATACCAATTGCATATATGAAAATAGTCACATTAAAAATGACAATGTTACTACCTCATGCTACAATTTTGATTATCCCATTTATGAGGCCGATGAAAACTATGATGATTTGGAAACTCCACTAGAGATAAAGAGATTAGTGGAGCAAGAGAATGAAATAATGCAAACTCATGGAGAATAAGTTGAAACGATAATCTGGGAAATGAAAATGATAAAAAAGAGGTCAAAGTTGGCACTGTAATGAAAGGAGAAAAGAGAGATCAACTACTCAAACTTTTATCTGATTATGTTGATGTGTTTGCATGGTCATACCAAGATATGTCTGGTCTAGATTCTGACATAGTTGACCATAAATTACCATTAAAGCCAGAATGTGCACCAGTAAAACAAAAGTTGAGGCGAATGAAACCAGAAGTATCATTGAAGATTAAGGAAGAAGTCAAGAAGCAACTCGATGCTGGACTCCTCGTAGTAGCCAAGTACCCTCAATGGGTTGCCAACATAGTACCTGTCCCAAAGAAAGATGGAAAAGTGAGGATGTGTGTCAACTATCAAGACTTGAATAGGGCAAGTCCTAAAGATGATTTTTCGTTACCTAACATAGACATTTTGGTTGACAATATTGCGAAAGACTCATTCTTCTCCTTTATGGATGGTTTCTCCGGGTATAATCAAATTAAAATGTCACCTAAAGATATTGAGAAAACCATATTCATCACACCATGGGGGACATTTTTCTATAAAGTAATGTCATTTGATTGGAAAATGTTTGGGCAACATATCAAAGGGAAATGGTTAACTTTTATTCATGGAGAAGAAACTTGGGATGTAGAATGAAGTTAAGGAAGCAGAAGAAGTTAAGGAGGATGGAGAAGAAGTTAGGGAAGGAGAAAAAGTGAAGAATGAAGAACAAGTTAGGGAAGGAGAAGAAGTTAAGGATGGAGAACAAGTTAGGGAAGGAGAAGAAGAAGTTAAGGATGGAGAAGTAGTTTGGGATGGGGAAGAAGTGAAGGAAGGAGAAGAAGTTAAGGAAGAAGAAGAAGAAGTTTTGGATGGAGAAGAAGTTAAGGGTAAAGAAGAAAGTATGGATGGGGAAGAAGTTTGGGATGGAGAAGAAGTTAAGGATGGAGAAGAAGTTTGGGATGGAGGAGAAGTTTGGAATGGAGGAGAAGAACCGAAGTATGGAGAAGAAGTTAAGGAAGAAGAAGTTTAGGAAGGAGACGAAGTCAAGGAAGAAGAAGTTTTGGATGGAGAAGAAGTTAAGGATAAAGAAGAAAGTATGGATGGGGAAGAAGTTTGGGATGGAGAAGAAGTTTGGAATGGAGAAGAATCTACTAAGTATGGAGAAGAAATTAAGGAAGAAGAAGTTAAGGAAGGAGAAGAACTTTCGGATGGGATGGGATAGGATAGGAGATTATATAGTTAAGGATGGAGAAGAAACTTGGGATGTAGAATGAAGTTAAGGAAGCAGAAGAAGTTAAGGAGGATGGAGAAGAAGTTAGGGAAGGAGAAAAAGTGAAGAATGAAGAACAAGTTAGGGAAGGAGAAGAAGTTAAGGATGGAGAACAAGTTAGGGAAGGAGAAGAAGAAGTTAAGGATGGAGAAGTAGTTTGGGATGGGGAAGAAGTGAAGGAAGGAGAAGAAGTTAAGGAAGAAGAAGAAGAAGAAGTTTTGGATGGAGAAGAAGTTAAGGGTAAAGAAGAAAGTATGGATGGGGAAGAAGTTTGGGATGGAGAAGAAGTTAAGGATGGAGAAGAAGTTTGGGATGGAGGAGAAGTTTGGAATGGAGGAGAAGAACCGAAGTATGGAGAAGAAGTTAAGGAAGAAGAAGTTTAGGAAGGAGACGAAGTCAAGGAAGAAGAAGTTTTGGATGGAGAAGAAGTTAAGGATAAAGAAGAAAGTATGGATGGGGAAGAAGTTTGGGATGGAGAAGAAGTTAAGGATGGAGAAGAAGTTTGGGATGGAGGAGAAGTTTGGAATGGAGGAGAAGAACCAAAGTATGGAGAAGAAGTTAAGGAAGAAGAAGTTTAGGAAGGAGACGAAGTCAAGGAAGAAGAAGTTTTGGATGGAGAAGAAGTTAAGGATAAATAAGAAAGTA